TTTCCCTTTAAGTTCTTGCATGCTTTTTCGTTCGAAAACAATCAATGGCAATTAATTTCCGAGGAAAATTTAACAAACGACCGCCTCCGATATGGGATTCTCGGTGATGTGTATAGTCGCGGTGGGCCAGTCGATTTTCTTACTGCAAACATGATTCAATCCCTCGAGAGAAGCCAGTCTGTAGTCAGCCATTTTCAACGGTGATAATGGTGCCACTGTAAAGAAAAATAAACGAAAATTCCAGGTCAGAGTAATTTGAGTGCTGAATAACATTTTTTTCATCCTCGCGTCGAGGTTGTTAACACGTAAAGTATACCCAAAAAAGTGTGTTCCGTTACAAATTTGAAAAAAGTAATTTGTACCATAATTAGAGAGAAAATACGGAACGTAAAAACATGAAAGAAATAGAGAGAGATTCAATCATCGACTTAGTGTTTCGATCATCGAATGAAAAAAATAGAGATAAAATTAAAAAAAAACAAGACTAAAAGAATAAGAGATAGAAAGGCTTGCATGCAAAACGAGAAACAAAAAAATTAGAATTATATGTGTGTATTAGAGTGAAACTGTTTTATGTGCAAAGCATGTGAATCGGAATCGGCACAATCTGTTGTTCGCTATTCTACTGCCCAGTAATGTGCGGAGCTTTTCTTTCGTTGCATGTTTTCGTAAACTATATTGTTAATGTCCCACCATGAGTAAATGCTGCTACAAGAAAACAGATTAAATACTCTTGCATTTGGAAATAGCCTGTGCATACGTTCATTAAAAGATCGATTTCTACGGAGGAAATGATATAAAGCTCTAGAAAGATTTCTGATTTATCGTTGATTGATAAGGTTATTTCATACCAGCTATCGATAAGAAAAAATTAACAACTCAGTCGATAAAACTTTACCATGATCTTGTAATCCTAGTAAATGAATCCTCTTTTCGTAGTGAAAATATCGAGAAATTCATTAAATAAAAAATTAGTTAAACAAATGTATGGAATGTGCAATGCAATTTTGAACTAATCCTCTCGCTATCGTAAATCAATCATATATACTCGATTACATTTTAATTACAATCGCTACAAAATTGTGCCGTCAATTTCTCCGTGAAATACGTAAAAAAAGAATTTCATTCATTCATAATTTTACTTGAAAATTGTACATACTTTATTCTTTATAAGACAAAAATAACACAAACAACAGCGAGAAGGATAATGATTCTAAGATATGATGATCTAAAGAGACATGGAATGCATGGAGAGTTTAGTAAGTCCGAAGAGATAAACACACACAACAACATCTGCACCCCGGAAGAATTAGCATCGTTAAAAAAAAAAAAAAATTAATACAATTAATTAGTTGCCTTTTAAGGTAATCCTTCAGAGATATAGATAGAGAGAATATATTGCCCGATTGTCATCCAAGATATGTTAGTCGTGATACATCATCATCGTCGGTTAATACTTCCCGATAAAAGTTTGAATTCCGACTTACTTAACATATAGACGTGGCCTAACTGACCAACTGCGCGCTTGACTCCTTGCGGCCTTCAATTCCTAATTACAATTACCTTCGGGTGTTGTCGGCGTCACGGGCTTCCGCGGGGATCTCACCACTAAAAGGCACAAAGAAAAACAAATTTTTGTTTAAAACATTCAAAAAAAACGAATAATGGATCATAACGTAGCGTAGGCCGTAGCGAACGTTCTCATAATTCTCTCTTCTTTTCTCTCTCTCTCTCTCTCTCTC